GCGTAAAAACATTGCGATGAATCTTCCGCAGGATGCGTTCTGAATTCGTTGAAACTCGTTGACGATTTCTTTATCTGTTTCGATCGGAATTCGTGTGTCGGAAAACGAGACACGAACAAACGACGAGTCGTTCTCGGTTATCAGTGAACTTCTGAACACGCCCCACGCCGTTGAAATTAAACCGGCTGAACCCAACCCTTTGATATGCACAGAACGTAATGTGTCATTTTTCACGTGTTTCCGTGAACTTTTCGTGAACAGAGGGAATCGTCAGAAAAGACGCAACATTGATAGATTTTTATTGGAATAAGCGTTTTTCGTAACCTCTTGACAAAATGGTAAGCGTGAAATAGGCGTACATCACCGTGAAATAGGTTATAATGACTTACCTCTCGTGAAGCGATAAAGTTCTTTATCAGTTGGGTATGATGTAGTCTGATTTGGTTTGTGTGTTGTTCGATATGCTCTTTTTGGAAGTGAACATTTTTTATTGAAATATTAAATATAGATAGATTATTAGCAAAATATTTAAATTTACATGTTTGATGAGCTATTAATTATTAATATGTATGCTGCAGTCTGGAACGCTAAAACCTTATTTGGCAGCAGTGAGGAGGACACTGACTGCTGCTATGTGTCTGGAGAACTTCTCTTCCCAAATAGTGGAGAAACATAATAAGCCTGAGGTTGAAGTGAGAGCTAGTAAGGAGCTTCTTCTGACTCCGATATTGATAAGCAGAAATGACAAAGAGAAGGTGCTGATCGAGTCCAGTATAAACAGTATGAGAATAAGTATTGCTGTAAAACAGGCTGATGATTTAGAGAAGCTACTGTGTCATAATTTCACAAGATTTATGACAATGAGAGCGGAACACTTTATCATTCTTAGGAGAAAGCCAATAGAGGTAAACATTTTTTCATATTTCCTAAGGATTGTGTAAAGGAAAATACAGCCAATAAAAATTGATGTTATTTACGTTGTTTTACAGGGTTATGATATTAGTTTTTTAATTACAAATATCCATGTAGAGCAAATGTACAAACACAAAATTGTAGACTTTGTCATTTATTTCATGGAAGAGATTGACAGAGAGATCAGTGAGATGAAACTGTCTATGAATGCAAGGGCTCGAATTTGTGCGGAAGAATTTCTGAAAAGGGTCAGTATTTATGGTGCAATGTTTAAAAAAGCATATTGTAACTGTTACTGGAACCTGAATTTTTCTATTTTAGTTTTAATTTCACGGACACAAAGTGTTAACAACATAGCAATAATCGCAAACGCCAGGTCATTAAAAGTAACAGTGCCCAAGAATTACAAACTGGTTAATACTTAACCAGTATTTTAACGGATAATATCCCAACCGATCCTTGATCCAACCCTCTGTTGTTCTCCAGCCGCGATCCAAGAAACATGATCCATTCGAAATAAATTTCTCGATTAATCGATGTTATCTCCAGCTCTGTGTGCGTGTGTGCGTGTGTGCATGTGCAAACGAACAACAAGTCTGATGTACATGTAAGTACAGTATATAACAGTATATAAATTCAGCACCCGTGATCGAAACGCGCGAACCTTCCAATCGAGAGTTTCTTTCTCCCAAAAGGGGAAAATTGGAAGTGCTCGTTGGCGTCCGTTCAAAAAGCTGCTGAGTCTTTCTAAAACTAATTTTAATATTCTCGAACCCAAGACGATATAAATAATCGAGAAAATGACGAAACCGCGAGAATAACATTAATATGATAAACTTTTCACGCGACGAACTTATTTCTCAGTTTCGTCGCAGAAACTAAGAGAAAGAGAGAGATAGAGAAAACTGTTCAGAAGTGTAGACTGTTTTCGAGTCTAGCGTCTTGTAATCGTCTTAACGAGTTTTACAATTAACCTGCCCACGATGTACATTTTTACAGTTATACATACGTATTATATTACTAATTATTAAAAAAGAAGAAGAAAAGAATATTCGCGAGAATTGTATAGATAAGAAACTTTTCAGGCGAGAAACATTTTCTTACCTTAATTCAGGATAATAATAATAATAAAGTTCAGAATCATTAACGAGAGTAACTTTAGCACAAACCAGGCCACGAAACGTTCAGTATCAAAATGGAAGTGAATAGACGAAGGCTTATGTAATTTTGTTGGACACTAGGAACACTTTTTAAAGGATATTCCTCGATTCTCACATCAGTTGCACTGGTGCAACGCGAAAAAGAATAGATAAGGGGAAGAAGAAGAAGAAGAAGTAGAAGAAAAAGAAGAAGAAGAACGTTAAGTAATTATAAACGCAACTGATGTTCACCACGACACCGCTGGTATACATATACATACATTGTAACGCGTTGAACAGCTGCCAAACACTATTTAGCATTAGCGAGCTGATCAAGGGACTGTGTAATTACGATCTTTCTTAATCGTCACGATTAGGAGTAAAGGAATTTAAAGGAGCTGCTCTTTATTGTAATCACATTTATACACGGGAGTAAAAGAAGTTCTTGACTATTGTACATTCTTGATGGAGAACTTTTTTACCACGTCGCAATTGTATCTGATTTCCAGAAGAATATTATTATTACTATTATTATTATTGTTGTTATTATTAGAATGGATATAGGTGATCGCGCGTATTTTTCTTTTTCTTTCTTATGAACACACTTCTGAGGAGGAACAATTTGGCACACGTTTCATCTTGAATCGCCATGAAACACGTTGTTTGAAGCACGTGCTCTTCTTGATGTAAGAGAGAGAGAGAGAAAGAAAGAGAGAGAGAGAGAGAGAGAGAAAGGTTGAGAGGGAGAGAGATAGAAGTGGTGTATGCGTAAAGCGTGCAATTCTTTTTGCATTTACAAAGTTCTATTTATCTTACGGATCATATTGTAACCATATTGATTTAATACTAATGTAAATACAAATAAACGAGAAGAATCATCGTGAGGACATAAGTCTGTGAATTCAGCATGCTGAAGATGAAGATCTCTTAACTTTCAAATCCTCAGAATTAATAATGTAGGATTTAATTCTTAATGGTTACAGAGTATTAGACACCAATTTTAAAGAACAATTAAATTAAATTACTTATTTCAATATTCATATTATCCTCTAATTCAGTCCTAATTGGATTACAATTTATTTGTCATTAGAATGGAAGGTTTTGTGGATTCTATTGAGTAGTTCAGTACATTCCAGAATTCTAGCGTTTTCTGAAAAGTGCCTTGGCGTCTGCAACGCGTCGAACGATGGACAGAGGCCCCCTCGAATCGTGGAATCCATCACGTTCGCGGTCGACTCCTCTTTCCACGGGGAAGGGTAACCCCAACAGAGGCCAGTCGCTCGCCTGGTACCATTCACCAGTAGCAGTCCGCGAGTTTTCCGGCCACGAGGCTTCGCGAGCTCCTCGCGCGGTTCTCCGTTCATCACGCGGCGAATCGAAGTGACACTAGTGATCAACGAGTGAACCAAGGTGCTTTTACCAGAGGAGAGATCGTCAATTCTGAAGATTTTTCACAAAGTCTATAATGAATTTAAAAGTCTCAAAAGAAGAAACGTAAACGAAAATTGTCGAGTCTTAAGAGAAAAAATTTATGAAATTTCAAAATTAGTAAAAATTATCAAATTCTTCTATAATCACAAATAAAGATTTTTTTCTCTCCAAAATTCGCAGAATTAATCGTGGATTACAAATATCAAAATATTACCGAATTTGAAATTCTCGAATTGTCAAATTCCAAAACATCCACGAATCATCAAATATTCAAGTCTCAAAAGGAAGAATTTTTCAATTTTCTAAATTGAAAAGGAAGAATTATTAAATTCTTCTAAATTCACAAGCAAACAAAACCAGAAGTACCTGAACACCATCAAGTTATACACCTTCAAAGAAAATCATCAAATTTCAAACTTCAACATCAATTCAACCCTCAAGTTCACCAAAAGAAACAAAAAAAAAAAAAGAAAACACTCATTTAATCGAAATATCGACAGAGAACGATCCAGCAGTTATCAGTATTTCGAAAACGATCCTCAAAACTCGAGGAACCAGAGACAGCATAAGCTACACCAGTCTCTCATTCGTGGGTGGAGAAACTTTTAATCCTTGTCGTCTCGCGGCCAGTAACCAAACTTTCCCCCCACCTCGAATAGAGGCAGAGGGGTTAGCTTTAAAGGGGCACGTAATCTCGTTTCGCGATATTCGAGATTACCAGCGTCAGCCACAGTCGCTAGCGATTATTTCGTGTAGCTGGAGGCTGGAAGATTGTTGACAAACTTCCACGTTGGAGCGTGTTACGAGGTTTTAGCCGTGCTCATCTCCTCCGCGTTCTCCAAACGCGGTGATCGTGATAGGGGGCAAAAAGAGGGAGAGGGAGAGGGGGGGGGAGCAGTAGGGAGAGGAAGTCGGTTTTCGGTTAGCGAGAGACCTTCTAATTCCTAACGAGCGCCCAAAAATACACGGTGAGGAGAGAGAGGATCGAGTGCAACGGTGGCTGTAGATAGCCGCGACGGAGGACGAGGAAAAGAGGCAGGTAGAAACGAGCCGGATAAATAGAGGCTTACGAGTTATACGGGTCTTCCTAGCATCTCTTCTCGCTACGTTCGTTCACTCCTTCCTCCTTCTATTTCTACCTTTGCTCTTGTTTCATCCCCCCCTCACCCTCCACCTCTTTTGCTTTTTAATCGCGTGCAAGAAAAGTTACCTGTCGATATTTTTCGGTGAGAAGTTGTTAGAGGAGATTAGTAAAGAAATTGGTAAGAAATTTGTTTATTGCCCGGTGAAAGTTTCCGAGAAGTTGATAAAGGAGATTAGTACAGAAATTAGTAAAACATTTGTTTATTGCTTCTGAACAAATGTTTAGTAAATTAAATACATTTTTTACTCTTGTTTTGGCCTCGAACCGGTTTGCTTTTTAATTGTGTACAGGAGAAGTCCGATGATAGGGGGATTAGTGAAAAAGAAATTTATAAAAAATTTGTTTATTGCTATTGAATTATTATTTAGTACATCGTATACATACGATGGTTCGTGAGAATTGATATTGGTTCAGGTAAGTTGACGATGGTGGTTTCCTATTGAGAGGAGTGGGGCTGGGACGTGGTCTGACCTGCTAGGATTATTCTACTTACAATCAGAATTGTAGTATTTCGTGTTAGAAAACGTTCGATACGAATTTCTTTTAAACTTGTTTTACTGTGAATCTTAGTTTTGTTTATTTTTTTTTTTTTTTTATAAACGAGCTAGGAAATCCTTAGTTAATTAAGTAGGATTATTCTACTTGGAATAGTTGATGAATATTCTATCATGGATCGTTTAACAGCCTAGGCTTATTCTACGTAAATTCGTTTCTACTATTTTCCTCAGCAATTGCCCAGTGATTCTTCGCGAACTTAATTAAAACTTGTTCCGCTGCGGACCATTTAATGGGGCCAGGCTTATTCTACTTTACAACCGTTTTACTATCGCCTTCGATTCATTTTCCATCACGTACTGTTTAATTGAAAGTCCTTTTTACTCTTCTCGTTTACTGATTTTTTATTCACTAAGACAATTCAATTTTTCACGAAGAAAATAAAGAATTGCTCTGTGGTTGATCATTCAACTTGGTAGACTTGTACTACTTAGAACTACTTCATCTCTTTTGTTTTTAATAACTCTTCGATTAAATTTTTCTCATTTACAATTCTACTCACTTTCTCCTCAACAAATATTCAGTTAATTCGAAGAAGTCGCAAAAGATTACAAAATTTTCGATAAAATACATTTATTCTGTTAAAAATCCTCTCTTAAATTTTCACCTAATTTCAATAGTCTGAAACTCGTTCATGCATCAAGAAACTCCGCTTCCGCCAAAATTCTTCTAGAGTTTCCTCCCCTTTTTCAACATCAACTAACCCACATATCAATTTTCAGTCAATTCGATGTAGTTGCAAAAAAAATAAGAAATATTCAACTGTGTACACTTATTCTGTTTAAAATCTCCCCACAATTTTCCACCCAATTTCATATATTAACCAAATTCACGAAGAAACTCCGCTTCTTCCAAAATTCTTGAAGAAGTTCCTCAACCACATCAACTAATTTCTAAAAAAACTTCATCTAAACACAATCCTCCCCTTCCTCGTCGCCCTTTTTCATCGTCTCCCTTTCTATTTATCCGCTCGCGCTCTAATTCTTCTTTTCCATCCTTCACTCCCGCCCGGAAGATCAGCTGTTCCCTCTCCCTCTCGCGCTACTACCCTCCCTCCCTCTCTCTCTCTACACCCCCTCCCTCTTTATTTCTATCCCTCTCGAATCACGAAACATTTCGCGTGGTTTCTCACTTGCGAACCTCTCTCCCCACCCCTTCGAAACGAGTCTCGTCCAGACGCGTCGAGGCGTCCTCGCGGCGCGTTCACGTCGAGCTTGCGCGACGCCGCCGCTTTTTACGCCGACGCCGACGCAGCGCCGCGGGCTCCGAGTCGGCGTAGTCTGGGCCCTGGCGTCTCCCGATCGGCCACGGGAACCCACACCATATCCAAACGGAGGAGCCGCCGCCGCGTCCGTACTATTAACCTCCTCGATCCTTGTCGTGCTGTCTTTTTAATCGCGTGTACCTAACCTCTCTCAAAAAAAAAAAAAAAAAAAGAAACCAGAAAAATAAAAGAATCACTCGTCACCAATCTCGAAATAAGAAGTAAAAAGAAAGATTAAGTAGAAAGAAATCTCCACCCTTGGATTGGATACGATTTATTATATAAATCACTCTCGCGGGAAGAGGAGAAAAATTTGATCGGAGAAAAAGGCGAAGAAAGAAAGAAGGGTTAAGCC